GTTTCATCTTTTCACGGTGTATAATTTACCTTTTCATCATTACTGTTTCATTAGAAACACCGACGCAGCTCACACTAGTTTTTAGCTAGTTATATCTTTCCATTATATTATTGCTTCCCAGAGCCTCCACTCAAAATATTTGGTGCTTGACCACTCAACCAAATTTAATTGACGAAGTTGGCCATTGCGACATCATATGCCAAACATTATACTGTGTTTTTGTCGAGTAAGAAAGCACAAGCTATTCAATTTCCACAAGGAAATTTGCTTCTAGGTAAGAAATCCATTTATTAGCGATAGTTTAGTTTGAATATCAAAGTTCAAATGGTTTAGCTTTTGCTCAAGATGACATAACAACATGTATTTCCGCCTTGATATTGTGTGTTTTCACTTCTAGAATACCGAAGAAAACCAACCAAGGCATCTAGTTAGAGGTGCTTAAAGTTAAACTGAACATCTTGGAGTGAAGGTAAGATGTGTTTGAGGTCTCGCCGGGTTTAGTCCTTGATTCAAGCACTGAAAGAACCATGTATTTTATGTATTTTATTTCGAGCATGTTGAGAGTGATTTCACAGCTCAGGCTACCATGCCAATTAACGCCATAGTAAGATATTTGCGAAGGAAAAATGTAGATAATCCCTCGAACACAGAAGAGAAAACGAACAAAGAAGATTAAATTAATGGGATTCAACAGTGGCAAATCTTAGAATTCAGTCAATTTCGAAATTCAGGAAATATTCAGGAGAAAAACCCTTGAAGCACAGTAGAAAATCAACAATCAACTCTACACAAACTGAAAAGCGAGACCGGGAACTAATAATAAATAGATAACAATAATATTAATAAATTATATTTAGTAATATGGCGTTGTTCTTCTTTATTCATTGTTTTATATACTATAATAGTGCTAGTCGGCATTGATCTTCATATTTCTCTGTGCTTAGTTTTGATAATAATGATCTTACGTTAGTTCTAATGATATCTCGATAGATTGTTAACCTGTCATAATTTGAAAAGTTCAGCTTAATCGCACACCGTAGAAGCTGTTTGGCATAAAAAATGACAGTATAATCATCCATGCATTCTCCATAGCTTGCACTGGAAGACTTATGGTAACTGATAAATCATAACATATCTGATTGTTGTATTCTTGATTATTGAATGCAGTTCATACAAG